CCCAGCTGTGTCTGGGTACAAGTGACAGGATGAACAACCCAGCGGGTTTTCTTCCTATTGGGGAGTGTTGTACATTCTGCTATGGCGGTATGTTCACTCACAAGATGAGTGGCGCTGCCCAATAAACTCGCCCCTCGGGGCAAAATTTAAAAATTAAAAAAATGTGAGGTTTAGGTAGTAGCAACATTCGAGGTTGGTTGCCTTTCCGGATGCCCCGCAGCTGCCCTGCTGAATTATACTGGTAGTGAGACTCGGGCAGCTTTAGGGCTTGCCCCTTCCGGATCGGCAGTAGAGGCATTCATGCCTGGTCCTCCTGCTTGCCGCTGAAGGGGGGCCAGCGGGCCCCCTTCATCTCTGCTTTTCTGGTGGACTCTGCTTTTTCTTCCAAAGGCAGAGGGTTTGGAGGACGGTTCAGCCCCGGGTCGTGAAGAGGAGAATTCCGGGGCTGGGGAGGAGTTGACTTGGGGGGGGGCCTGGGCCCCACTTGTCCCTGCTTGGGTGTTTGGTACCCTTGGTGCTGAGCTTGTTGTTACAGGAGGAGGGGTTTTCCTATTCTCCCTGTACGATTTTGTTATGAGTTCGACTCCTCCCCAGGTTCGGTTCTGGGTTACCTTGGGTTCCTCGGTTCCCTCCTTCTGGAGGTTTTTGGCTTCCCGCATCCCACCGAGGAAGGTGTGGGAGGCCCTTGCGGCTTCCTCCTGTGAGACCCGAATTACACCTCGATAATGAAGCCTTCTTCTTTTGAGTTTGGCTCCTCTTTTCCTTATTGGGTGCGTTACAAGGTGCCGGAGTTTTCTTGTCTGGCAGATTGCCTTTTCTTCTTTGGAGGGCTTGGTATTCGTCCTGTCGGAATGCGCACTTGAATGGCGAGAGTTGCCTACGGTCATTCAGGTTTTCCTGGGGGGAGGGGCGAGTTGGAGCACCTCAAGGTGTGCTAGTTTGCTCCTGTCCTTCCTTATGTTGTCGGCCAGGTGCGGCTTCATGTGCAGGTTCCCTCCCTTTCGGCATCCTTGGTGGCTGAGGATTTGTGCGCTTGTGGGCACTTGACTTCGGTCTTGCGCTTCTTTTCCCTGCTGGAGCTGTCTTCGGACTGGCTTGTGGTGGGTGTGGAGGAGTTGGGTTCCAGGCCAGTGTCCAGTGTGCTTGCTTCAGCAGCTCGGGCGCCGGCTGCCTTAGTGAAATTGTGTGTGCCATTTCTGAGGGAGGCGGTGTCTGTTCTTCGCTTCTCGCCCCTCATGCTGACAGGCTGTGCTCGTCCAATTTTTGGAATCGTCATGGGCCCTGGCTCTTAGATTTTCATCCCCTCTCTAGTGGGAGCCCCGTCAGCTCCCCAGAGCTTTATAGGCTGATATGCTAATGTTAGACTTTGGCATCAATCATGTATATGGAGTTCTGTGGTCCTACCGGGGATCACGAGCCAGAACCTGGCCCCCTCAGATGAGGCAAGGGGAGCAATGGCCCATAGAAACCCCTGTGTGGTTGGAAGCATTCTATGTCTGCCATCGACTGGGTCAGGCACACAGAAAGGTAAGCGTCCCAAAACAAACCCGTATTCTGGTGAAAATTGCTACCAAAAGCCGAACAAGGGGATAGAACGAACATGACGCCACACGTCGCCGTGCCGCTGTCTGCACAGCTCCCCACTTTTCCCTCCCGGAAAGGGGGAGCCCAAGACCCTCGCGCTGGCTATCCGCCCTTCAGTTCTAAGGCTGATGCTGTGCTCCGGCTCCGGTGGTTGTTTCAGCACTGTACCTAGTGTGTGGTGAATGTCTGCTAGGTGGTGCATAAGCCGGGAGAGATTCTCCTGTACTCGGGCTGCATGCGCCTAGGGTTTCCTTCCCTTGGTGCCCAGTAAGTACTGCCCTTGGGGCTTGGGGCCACCTTCCAAAAGTTCCTTGGGTTTTGTCCCTGCTGGGCTGTTTACTGCTTGTTTTTCTGCCGCCCTTTGTGTGCTGTCTCCCTTGTTCGCCTTGGGGTAGGGGCGCAGGGTACTGCTCAGCTTTTCACCATTGATAGCAGCCGCTTCTGTTCCATCTGGGTACGTTGTCCTCCTGCGGGTTTTTTTTCTTTTTGTTTGTCTGCCTTGGTTCTTTCCCCCTGTGTCCTGGGTACTCTTCCTTCTTCCGGTGGTTTTCCCTGCTAGGTCCCAGTGAGTGTACACGTCCCGGGGGTTCAGTTCTTCGAATGTTGTTTGGTATTTGTGGGCGCCGGTTAGCAGTATCCTGCCTGGGATTACCTGGGCGTGAGTCCCTGTAGGTAAACGCTCCAGACCCTGGGAAACCCCTAGGGGGGCGAGTGGGCCCGTTGCATGTGGCCCCGGAGTCCTTTTCTCGCTTTGTGCGAGTTCGAGGGTTGCTCTGTCCCCTTGTCTCAGGGCGACTCTAATTGTTTTGCCTCCGTCTGCTGCCTGTGGGGTCGGTAGCACCTTTGGCTCGGAGCCCTGTGAGTTTTGTTGCTTGTTTGTGGCTCGATTACCCAGTCTTATGCTGACTAAGCGGGTGCAGGCAGCACGGGCATTGCAAGTTTCAGTGGTGCAACGCGCTAGGTCTTTGCTCCCTGGGAGCCCTGGGGCCGACCTGTTTTGGTTGGTGTGAGGGGGCTTGGAGGTGTTGGACACTTTGGCTTTGTTCTTTCCACGCCCCCCCTTGTCTTCCCCTGTTCTGGTCCTCCCCCCCCCCCCCCTTCCTCTCTGCATCCAGTTCCTTACCGCTTGTGGGTTCGGGGTCGGGGCAGGGCTTCGCTGGTCTTGAAACTCGGGTGGTCTCGGGGATTTTCCCCCTTCCGGTGTAGCGACGGGGGCATACGAGCCTGTTCCTCCAGCTGTGTTGTATGAGTTTGCCAGGGGGCTCCCTTCCTTAGTATGTGTCCGGTTGCCCGGGCTCTTTCTTGTGAGGCTGGGGCTTTAGGGGAACGGCTCGGCTCCGGGACCCGCCTTGTGGGTTCCTGAGGCTGGTGAGGGGCTGACGTTTGGACCCTTCTGGGGGTTTTCTACCCTTTGGGCTGGGCTTGCGGTTACGAGGAGTGGGTTTTTTTTTTCAAAGGCCTAGATAGGCCTTTGTTAGCAATATTGTCACCAGAATAGGGGTTTGTTTTGAGATGCTTACCTTTCTGGGTGCCTGACCCGGTCGATGGCAGACATAGAATGCTTTCAACCACACGGGGGTTTCTATAGACCATTGCTCCCCATGCCTCTCTGAGGGGGCCAGGTTCTGGCTCGTGGTCCCCGGTAGGCCCACAGAATTCCATGTACATTACTGATGCCAAAATCTGACATTAGCTTATCAGCCTAGTAATCTTCGGGAAGCCTCTGGGTCTCGCCCAGAAAATGGCGTTTCATTACATTCAACGCTGGTTTTCTGATAAGGTGGAAAATTACCACCTGCTCGGTGCCCCTCTATGAGGGGGGCGAGGTTCTGACTTTGGTCCCTGATAGGCCAAACAGAATTATCCACGACTGATGTGACCTTTTAGTATGATGCAGTGTTAACACACTCACCCTGCACTTCATGAGCGATTTGGCCTTGGTTCATATCCTGGCCAGGGAGGATTGACTAGGTGCCAACACTTAACTGTATACCTCTATTCACCCAGCAGTGATTGGGTACCAGGTGGTTAAACAATTGGCGGGTTGTACAGTACTCCAGGGAAAATAGTAGGTACAGCTTGCATGAGCTACAGGACAGGAAAGCTCTCGACCTGCTAACCGAAATCTACATTTGTCTGTTCCTGTACTGTACCCACCAGTGGGGGGCAGGAGGGTGGAAAAAAGTAATCTTTGGAAAATAGTTTTAGGGAGCCACAATGGGCTACCGCCAGAAAAGTGCTGCAGCCCAAAAACGGCACACTGCAGAATCTGATTCAAAACCAGAGGTGGATGCCACAGTGCACCAACCTGAAGAGTTTGAACAAGAAACACCATACCAGAGAACACAACCTACTCCACAGAACAAGGCTAGAAATGAAGGCACATCACAAGAACTGTGTACTCAGCAGCAAGAATGAGAAAAGAGAAACATAACCATGGACTGAACTAATATCATATTAGGTTAATGTACATGACAAAAATTGAGCCGTACTATATTCTGAAGCAAACCCCAGAAGAGAATAAAAATGCCTCCTAATTTACACGTCTTGCATAAGAAAGCTTAGCACCGAAGAGTAGGCCTGCCATGAACTTCCTAGGCATAACAAAGGCAGTGGAATACTTTTAAGAGAAGTTGTTCCATACTGAAAACAACACCAAAAGGCTTCAGAAAAGATCTCTCTGGGTCTCTTGGTCTTCATCAAACTGTGGCCACGATAATATCCCTGAAGCACAGCTATAGCAGATATCCCCAATGACTGATGTACTAAACTGTTGTAATTACAAACATGAAGTGTAAAGTAAATCATAAAACACACATAAATTCCCTGATCTGTTACAATGTTCTCAAAGGAAAACTACCAATTCTGGCCAGTGCAGAACCCAGACATGAAGATGGTGGATGCTAGTTGCAAGGCGAGGCCATCAGCTCCTCTGATCCAGCTGTTGCATTCGGTACTTCCACCAAGTGATGGTGGAAAACTAATGTAGTCTGTAACTATAGTTTTAGAGAGTACTAATTGGCATTACTGATGCTGCTAATAAGCACTTGCTAGTTGTATCGAGGGTATTGCTCAGTTGTGTCTTAATGAGCTCATCCCTCGGTGGTGGCTTCAGTCGTACTCTGAACTCCATATTTACAAAGAGAGACACATTATCAGACTAGGGAAGCAAGGCCAAGAGAGTTTGGTTTACGAATATACTCCTGGTGAACTGAAATGACCCTAGCTTGGGGACCATCTGCGGGTCTGGCTCTGTAAGTGGTGTTGCACTGAGCGTAACACATTATATTTAACACCACTTATTCCTTACTCGATTCAAGGACTGCATCCATTGTTTATTATTTGCATATCTATAGAAGTACTTGCAGGAGTATAGCATATATGTTTGTTAATGTAAATATTCTGAATACGTGCAGGTTGACGCTGGAGATCGTCTTGGTCGCACTCCCTTGGGGTTGGCTATGTGGTCAGGACACACAAGTATTGTCAACACATTACTACAAGAGAAGGTCGTCTTATCTGAGGATGGTAAGTCATAATATTGTTGCTTACCAACACTAGTGAAATATTTTTGTATCATTTTGATTCAGCTTTATTTTCATTTGTTTTCTATATTTTGAATTATCTTGTTTTCTATGGGAACTCCCTTTGAGGAAGGGCAAGGGAGGCTGATGTAGAATATTTCTGACATTTTGACCACCTTTAAGTTTGAAAACTTTCAAAGGTATTCTCTAGATATTTGTTAGTTTTATTTCATGGTTTGGTAATCACTTTAGTGAATAAGTGTTCACTTGTCTGGACTTATGATGAAGAATGTCCTGAAAATAAGAGAATCCTTTAATAAACATTTGTAAGACTCCAAAAATAAAGAAGCATAAGTTGACAAAACTAATATGAAATTTTAAAAGAATTGAAATGATTCAATTCAATTCATTGAATGGTTGAGAATTGAAAGTAGGGTTTTTGAAACTTAGAACTGCACTACACCAAAGTGAGATGTAAACCGGTACCTGTACTATCTTATTAATTGATACTCTTATTATAATATAGAATAAGACAGTCAGTACTCCAGTATTACCTGCTTGATACCTGCTTAATGGGATTCTGGGAGCTCTTCTGCTCCCCAAGTCCGGCCCAAGGCCTAGCTTGTGAGAGCTTGGCCTAACAGGCTGTTGCTTGGAGCGGCCCGCAGGCCCTCATATCCATTACAGCCTGGTTGGTCCAGCACTCCTTGAAGAAATTGACTCTTGTATTGACTAATGATTGTTAATTGACTAATTGATAAGAGTATTGACTTTTGATATTTTTGTCTAATGTTAGAACTTTGCCCAGTATTGTAAAAAAAATTGGGTTGGAAATTCAGCTGATATTTGCTGATACTGCAAACATTGGCTGATAGCACCAATACATTGGGACATCTCTAGTACTGTTGTTCAGGCTATGTATCAGACTAACAATAGGTGATACAGTTTGTGGCTGTTTGTGGAAACACAAGTAGAGTAAGGCACACATGAGCTATGGAAAGGGAAAGATCTCGGCTGTCAAATAGGAGTCGGAAGTTCTGTTCCTGTACCCACAAGTGTGAAAACAATAATGAGAGAGTGAGAGAGAAAGAAAAGTGACCATTGGTGGAAGAAATAGTAATACAGTAGAACTTGATTCAACGAACCTCGATTTGGCGAACCTCCGGTTAGAATGTGCATTTTCCAGCCCGGATTTACTCACCTGATTCCATGAGCTCTTGTTCGCTGAAGCGAAGGATGTGCGGATTTCCTTAGGATGTTGGGACAGGAGTTCAGAGACTGGTGAAAAATTTGTCCATCATATCATAGGTTAAAATTAAAGATTTCCTTGGTGAAATCAGGCCATACAGTAGAGTGTGGGAAACATAGTAATATGGTTCCAATCACATTTTTAATGATTTTTGTAATATTAGAAGAAAGAGCTGGGGCCTTTTCACCTGTGCTCTGTTTGCTCACGCCTGGTCTCACGATTTGTGGGCTTTTCGGGTCGTTTCTCTCGGCCTGCTGTGGCATTGGGTGGCTCCTCCTCCTTTGGGGGGTTCGGGACTGACGGGGCAGGCTTCCTCTTCTGCGCTCTGTTGGGTCATCTTGGAGTGGGTGCGCTTGGGCATGGTCGAAACGACAACGTCTCTCAGGTGGGTTTCCCGCCTGTTCCCAGTTCCGAAACGGGACTGTGCGGACCTGCGGTTCATTCTGAACTTGTCCCGTCTGAACCTTTAGGTTTCTTGCCCCCTCGTTTCGGATGACTACTCTGTCCTAGATCCAGCTTCTGTTGGAGCCGGGCGCTTGGATCGTGTCCCTGGCCCTCAAGGACATGTATTGGCACGTCCCTATTCATCTAGGGTTCCGGGACTGGCTCGGTTTTGTTGTGGGGCGTCAGAGTTGCCACTTTTGTTGTCTTCCTTTCGGGTTGAATCTGGCACCTCGCGTGTTCACACGCCTTACCTGGGTCGTGGTGGCCCATCTGCATCTGTTAGGTGTTTGGGTGTTGGCTTACCTCAACGACTGGCTGGTTTGGGCTCCCAGTCGGTCTGCATGTCTGCTCACCAGGGATTTGGTGCTTTCCCAGCTCGCCGTGTTCGGGTTCCTGATGAACTGGAGGAAGTCCTGTCTGGTTCCCTCCAGCTTCGGTCCTAGCTAGGTCTTGTGTGGGACTCCCGGACCGCTTCCTTGTCTCTTCCTCCGGCGTCTCTCCTTCGGCTGTGGTCCCGCCTGTGCGGGATCCTGAACCTTGCGAGGTTGGTCTACCTGCTGGGTCAAGTTTGACTTCATCGGCTGTTCTGGTTCCTTCGGAGACGTCCCTTCTGCCTCTCTCGTGATCGCTAGGTTTGTCCCCCAGGGGCCTTGTGTCGGCTGCTACATCGCCGGCTTCCTCTTCGGGGTTCAGTGCCTTGGCGCCTTCCCGAGCCCTCGCTCGATATGTTCACGGACGTGTCATATCTCGGCTGGGGCTTTGTAACCAGTGCTCACCAGGCCGGCCAGGGTCAGTTTGTTGTGGCCCCTTCGGTTCAGGATTGTTTTGCTAAGACTTTTTTTCTGTTGGCATTAGCCTCTGGGGGGTCATGTGGCGGAGCTGCATGCTCTTCTCCGGCGCAGAGGTTTTTGCTCTTTTGGTCGTGGTCATAGGTATGTTCGTCTACAGCCGTCTCCCTCTTTTCTGGTGAAAATTGAGACTGCTGGCTTCCGGAGGGGTCCTTGGGTTGTTGATGCTTGGTTTGTTAGTCCGGGGTTCATCATGTATTGTCCAGTTGCGGCCCTCCGCCGTTATCTGTGCGCCACAGCTTCTGTGTCCGGGGACGCGCTTTGGGTTGATCCGATTTCCCTTCTTCCCTGTTTGCGGGTTCGGGTCTCTCGGGTAGTCCACAGTGTGATTACATCCAGTCACCCTGTGGTCTATCCCTGTGCCCATGACGTTCGTAAGTTTGCTGCTCTTGCTGCCATCTTTGGCAGCCAGTGTATGGCAGCCAGTGGCGGGCTGCCACTGCCACTGCCACTCAGCATACCAACTTAGTGGTTTGTTATGTTGAACAGAAATGTAGATTCTTATATATAACGTGTATATATAGTGTAATAACAGCAAAAGGAGTGTTGGGTGAAGCCATTTTGGTGAGGGAAGTGGCGACATCTGCATGACTTGTCATGCTGGGTAAGGGCACTATACCACTATAGGGCACTATATACTTGCTAGGTAAGGGCACTATGCTCCTTGGGCACTATACCAGCTTAGTTGAACAGTTGTGGTGAACAAAACATGTAGATACTTATATATAATGTGTGTATATAGGGTAATAACAACACAAACAGTATACTTGAAGGAGGAATGTACGTGCGTCTGGCCTTGAACCAGTGAGGGAGGGAGGGAGGGAGCATTAGTTGTGTGGGGCCACCTGTTATTGTCTGCCATTACCATACAAGATTAGTGGTTTGCTATGGTGAACATAAATGTAGATACTTATATATAACGTGTACATATAGTGTAATAACGGCAAAAGAAGTGTTGGGAGAAGCCATTTTGGTGAGGGAGGTGGCATCACCTTCCTGACTTGTCATGCTGTGTAAGGGTGGCAACTATGCTCTTTGTGCACTATACCAGCTTAGATGAACAGTTATGGTGAACAGAACATGTAGATACTTATATATAATGTCTTTATATAGTGAATAAAAGCAAAAACAGTATGGTGGGAGGAGGATGTGGGTGAGTGAGGAGTCATTGAGGGAGGGAGTGGCGGCGAGGGGCTGGCTGGCTGGTGTGTGGTGGCCATTCCTCGTTGCTTTATGACTCACAATATCAACTTAGTGGTTCGTAATGGTGAACAAAACATGCAGATACTTATATATTACCTGTGTATATAGTGTAATAACCGACAAAGTATTTGTTTGTTTTATGAACACAATAATTTAATCAATAATATGCACACCATAATTTTGAGTACAGCGATGATTCACACATTTTATTGTATAAATATATCACACTACGTACTATTGAATAATATTACAGCAAAAAACAAAGAAAAAATCAATCGGAGACATTGAAATAATTAGGTAATTATATCTTTGTGGCCACTCCTGCCTGACAGCTGGGGTGGACCAGACCGTCTCCGACGCATGATCTGTCAGCGCCTCTTTTTTGCCAGACTTCTCCGCCCTATTGCGGCCAAAATATGCCACTTACGACTTTTTTATTATTTTTCCCCGTGATCACAAATTAACAGGTTTATAAAAGAAAAGAATTTTTTTTTTTTATGCGCCTGTGGGTGACAAAGGCCAAATAGCCCTTAGCAGCTTGGGGGTTAAACTTCATATTTTAAGCATAGGCAGGAATGACAATTTTGCTGGAGCTGCTATCAAACTGTTAATCTGACATGTCCAAGACTAACCATATCAGAATCGTCTTGTTGCATTTGATTTTCCAATGGACTGGGTTCCATTATAACATGAATTACAGTATCCACTCAATTTAACGGCCTCTTTTATACCGATCTGCCGGTATTAACGACCGGTTTGGGAGACCGGTATCTGGAGCCTGCTATACCGGTCTACGGTCGATATTACCGACGGTCGGTATTGGGTTTGTTGTGGCATCAGCGTCCCCTCACATGGCGACCAGGCCACCGACCTGGATCGTCCAGAGTCATATATTACATCTTAATTTTCTTTTAAAATGATTCACTTTAATGAAGAAAATTGTAAATTATTATTAATAAAATATTTTGAAACAGTTTTTATTAAGCAAAAGTCTTTGTTTTCTTATTAAATACCTTTTATAGTATGTATAGGCACTAGGTATTTTTTTTCCCACGGACCTAGTATGTACTCCGCCGGGCCATGTGTTCCCATTGTTTACTGTGAACTCGCGCGGCTAGCTTCAATTGTGAAGGATATTACTGTACTGTAATTGTGATCTTTTTAATTTACAAAATGCCAAAAGTTACCCAAAGGAAGCGCCTGACGGTTGCACAGAAGCTGGAGTTAATTAAGAAACTTGATAAAGGATATTCTCATGCACGAGCAGCAGCAGAGTTTAACATCGGGAAAAGTACAGTAAGTGACATCAAGAAACAGAAGGATACTCTATTAAAATATGCCTGAAAATAAGTGTACATACAGTATGTACCCTGTATACAATATAAACAATATAAAACAAGCGCTGCAGAGGATGACGTAATCTTCACAGCTTCGTAATCTTCAGCTTCATTAAAAGTAAGTCAATTTACCAATTTTATTATAGTATTACAAGATATTAATTGTTTTTTTCAACAAAAGCTACATATTAGTCTCTGCAAATGTATATTCTATCGTCAGCAGAGAATAGGTGAGCTCAAAATATTTCGTCTTGGCTACCTCTCAGTGACAAGGCTTGATCGCCATTGTTATGGCATGGCCGCCACAGCCTGTGTTGTAACATTAAAAATACATTACCTACACTGTTCAGGGTAAATCAAAACACATCTCTAAAATAATATTGAGAAAATATTAACTTGCTGATTGATACATGAAATATTTTTCATTACAAAGGAATGAATAAATTTTTTCCCACCCATCTGGGCTTGATCAGACCGTGTTCACACATCATCGATGCAGCAGCCAACAACTGGCTTAATCGTCGGTGTGGCACTAAATTGGAATGCAATTACACAATGAACTTTATTTAATTTTAGTTATACAGTATAAAATATATCCTACCTGAATGTTACTTGAAAAATTACCCGACCCGACTTAACTTCGGAAATAACGGAGCTCCGGAAATAACAACCAGGGTACAGCCCCATATAGGCCGTTAAATTGAGTGGATACTGTATATCTGACAATCGGTGTGCAAGGAACCTGGGGTAGAGTCCAAAATCTCTGATAACTTGTTAAAGGTAATAAAGTATTTTATATGTTAATAGTGTTGGTTGTTGCAGATAAGGACTGGCGCTCCATAGTACGAGAAGAAGTGGGGTTGAGTATTGTAAGAGTAATAGAGGAGACTGCCGTTTGTGGATTGGATACCTGCCGCTCCGATGGTTTTACCCTTCTCCATTTGGCTGCCCAGCATGGTTATCCCAATATGATGCACAGACTACTCTCCCTTAAAGTTAGTCAACTGTGTTTTGTTGTTCTTATTACTTAGCATTTGGGTTAACCTCAACTGTTATCTACAGTATATTATATGAAGTGGGGGACATTGTATATTCTCTTTCTGGCCTATCCTACCCAGATGCTTATTGCTTAAGATGATATACTTCTTGGGCCTGTTGGATAGGATCATATACGTGTCCTTAACCTATGGAATTGAGCGTGTATACATGTATAGGATGGAGCTATCTAACATAGAGCTCTTTTTGTAAGGCTTTGGGAAAGGTTAGATTTGGGTATGTAAGGGTCTATTGCACATGTATAACAGATGTTATACTTTGCATTTAATTAGTTGTAATGTATATCTATAAGCATTATATAAATTTTTGTTGCAGTTGTCGCCAGATATGAAGAACAACCATGGTGAAACACCGCTCTTTGTAGCCATCCGCAGTAACCAGCTGGCATGTGTGCAGCAGCTGATCAATGCTGGCACACGTCTGAGCCTGGTGGACAATCGTGGTGGCACTGCTCTACACATGGCTGCCAAAAATGGGAATGTCACCGTTATTGACATGCTCTTGACCACCTCTGAGTTGGAAGAACGAGATGTCGACATAAATCGATGTGACAACATAGGCTATACGCCAATATATTATGCTATCAATGCCAGCAGGTAGGAACTACCTATATTATCATTGTAATATTTATTACAGCATTTATTGTTTTCATTGAGCATTAGCATTAGCCTGGAAAAGATAGGGAACCAGTATTGTAAAAGATAACTAAAGAAATAAAAAAATTAACATTCATCCATTCACCACTTAATATATATTGTTCTTTAGATTCTTGACTAACTCTTACATGACTAACATTAATCTATGGTGCTTTGGAACACATTCTCACTTAAAACAGCAAATCAACTATATTTACTTTTAATTGGTTGATTGAATGATTTTCTACCACAAAAGTGACCATTCAGTTGCAGTGATAGACAAGACTTATACATTTTCCTGTGCCGTGTACATGCAGGGTTAGGGTACTGTTGAGCTGCATATAATAGTTGGTTGTGCACTTGACACCAGGAAGTGATCAGTGGTATTCAAGTCAATTTATCAATCTATGTTCCAATTATTGTTCATATAAACATTTTCACCTGTGGTCCACAGGTACGGTTAGTGAGCAGTTGCAATAACTTCACACGTTATTATTCTAATATACAAACTACCAGGTGCGATACTTGAGAAATTCATAATGCAGATAATCAAAATAGAAAAATGTCTCTAATTTGCCAAACACAGTACCAGATGTAATTTTCCTTGGAGACCTCAACCTGCCCAGTTTACGATGGGAGTTAACAAACAATAATGTTATACCAGGAAATCTACATGAAAATTGTCAGCCATGGGTCAGAGAACTACTAAGGTTCTCTGACAAATTTTCACTCAACCAGCAGATAGCAGAGCCAATTAGGAACAAAAACACACTTGATCTGATCTTGACAAAACAAGAAAGAAATAATCAAGGACATTACAGTCTTGGATACCATATAATCAGATCACAAGCTCATTGAAGTGCAAACTAACTTCAGTACTATATGCTTAATATGCCTCCAAATGCAGACAATGAGTCACAATAAAGTGACTGAAGATATGATGACCAAACCACACATCAGAAGATGGAGAAACAACGTTGTTTCTGTCTATCCTGGACCATTATCAATTTGTGATAAGGATCCAGAACAGACTGAAATGTCATCATTTCTCCATCTTGTGGTGTGTGGTTTGGTCATCATGGCCCCATAATTTATCAAGCAAGAAGGGGTTATTCTATAAAATCAGTTTTAATACTACGAGGATTGACTTTGAAAAAATAAACATAGAACTTACAAACATTCAATGGGAAATAATTTTAAATAACAAAACTTCCATGCAAAGAGTAGAACAATTGACTGCTGAAGCATACAAAGTCTACTTGAGACAAGTTACTTTTCAGTGTCAGAAAGGGGACTAGCTTAGAGAATGCAGACAATGCTAGAGAAGGAATAAATAACGGAAATGCACAAGCAGACACAATAATCCCAACATAGAAAAAATAATGTTAACAGGGAGATTGAAGAAATGAAACTGGAAAATAAAAGCCAACAAGAGATAAAGAAAAATCCAAAATATTTCTTCACATGTGTGAAATCAAAATAAAAAATCGTCACTAGTATTGAACCTATAGAGGATTTACAAGTTTTTGTTCATACACAACAGGACAACAAGGAAATTAGTGAAGTCCTGAAAGATGAGTATGAGGCTGTGTTTAGCACCCCAATGACGAAAATGAAAGTTGAAGATCCAGACAACTTCTTTATGAATAATATCCAAATCCCTGACAGCATAACTGATACCAACACCACACAACAGATTTTAAAGAGAAATTGATAACATGCTTATGCACTCAGCTCTGGGTCCAGACTCATGGAAGTCTATACTGTATTTAAAAGCAAATGTAAAATGCCAGTAGCTCGAGCACTTAAGTGTAGTGTGGAGAAAAAGCCTGGACAAATGGAAGCTACTAAAAGCACTTAAGTCAGCAGATACACAAGAGAGGGAGCAAAGCACTGGTTAAAAATTGTAAACCATTTGCACTCACATCACACATAGTACAAGTTTTTGAAAGGGAGATCAGGAGTCAGGTCTCCAGTTTTACGGAGAACAATTACCTGACAATCCAGGTCAACATGGAGATAGAGCAGGAAGATCATGCCTTTCATAGTTACTCGACCATTATGATAAAATAAAAGAAACATTAGAAGAAACACAAAATGCAGTGTGGTGTCATGGCCTTTGCAGCGGCACTTAATAACCGTAACCATAAAATGAGATCAGTAGGATTCGTTCCGTTCCTATATGTAGGTAAAGTGTATGTAAAGTGAATTCCTATATGTAGGAATAGCAATGGCTATTCAATTTCCTTTCATACAGATTGCAAAGAGTAACAGTCAATCAGATAAAATCAGGTCCAAGCAAAGTTAAAAGCTCTCTTATCTCAAGGCAGTCGTTGCACCAGTTCTTTTTCTCATTCTTATATATGATATAGACAAAAATACAAATCTCTGCTTCATGTCATCTTTTGTGGATGACTCAAAAATCAGCATGTAAATTACTTCTGTAGAAGACATTTGTCAAGGTTCTCACCCCTTCCTACCTTACATGGTTGGGGCCATTCCCACGGGTCTTCGCCCCTCCGTACCAGGCGCCACTGCTCGCCCCGGGGCTCCCCAGTCCACTAAGGGTTGGCCTTATATATACCCCTAGCAAGTGGAGAGGTTCAAGTCTACCTGTATCACACCTGAACCTGCCCGTCTTGACACTGGGATACTCTCTCTTAGATATCTGGTCTGCTCGAGGTCGTCAGCCGGGTGTTTATACTCGTGTCCTCGTGTCCCAGCAACACGTCAGTGGTCTCATTAGTTATCTTAAATCAAGGATGCAATCTCATGTGCAGTGCAAGGTGACATAAATGGTTTCACTCAAAATAGCCCTAGAGAATGGAGGCTCACTCAAACACATTGGTAAGATTAAAAGTTTACTGAAGAAAATATATACACTTGCATAACAAATAATATAGGTGGAATTGTCCGATGGCGGCAACACTCCTTCCGCTCCGTCTTTAGCAACACGGTCAGCTGACTGGGTCCACTCGTCAGTCGGCGGGCACACACCTCGCGCCTCTCGCAACACGATCAGCTGACTGGGTCCAACTGTCAGACGGCGGAACACACCTCGCGCCTCTGGCAACACGATCAGCTGGATGATTCAAATTTTGTTTCTGGCTTCTTGAAAACCAGCCACTACTTCCAGATACTCTACATCACCGCATCTACATATTTATGTTCCACCACCAACTCATGCCTATACGAGCTCCTTGGCTCCTAGCCTAACACTGTCACATAGACAATAAATGGTAACAAGAAATGTTCACAATATACAGAATATCCTAGCTCGCCTAGATCAAAGGGGTAATGGGAGGGATAACTATCTACTTTACTTCATTCCATTACGAAGTCGACTCGTCCTCTGGCGAGGGATGTTGAGGTTCCTGGTCCTGGCTTCTGGTCTTCCGTTGGTGAGTTCCCACACACATAAGTTCCTCAGTCGTCCTTGTAGTAGCGCGTCCTCACACCCGGCAGGTACGGTACTCCTCCTCTGCTTCCTCGGGGTACTAGAGTCAGGTACCTGTGCCGTCGTCGTCGTCCTCTCACTGCCACTGTTGACCCATTTTGCAGTCCAGTATAGTTTCCCCTTGCCTCACTTCCAGTAGATTCGGCCCGGCCGTTGCTACTCGCTTGATATGTAGAACGTGGTCCATTGGGCGTCCCAGACGTCTCCAGCCCAACGTTCGTCCCTGCTACAGACTCTTGGTAATAGAGCTCTTGACTCTCCAGCCTGGCCAATCCTTGCTTCTTGGCACTCCACGGGATGTCTGCAGTATGAAAGCGATGCTTAAATCCACTGGTAGGGGCGCTCTGGCCTCTAGATCTGGAGCTCACTGGAACGCATCCTCTCTCTGTGACGGTCTGTGATGTACTCTGCCCGCCCAGGCACCAGCCGCCCTGGAAGCCCTCCGCCTCGTGATGTCACACCGCCCGAGGGCTCTCGTCATTGGTCACTTCCGGCACGTGACCTTACCTGGCCAATCGGGTGCCGGCAGGTACCGCGATGCTTTGGCGGGAAACAGAATGGCTCGGCGCCATCTTGTGCCTCAAAAAGGTGTAAGCCCCTTGCATAATCAAACTTAAATGGCAATTTTACAGCCAACCGCATAACGCTCCACACTCTCACACATAAGAAAATGTTCCCTGGATATCAGAAAATGCTCAGGTTCTGGAGATATGGCTTTAAGCTGGGTTAGGAGAAATATAGGGGTGGGACACCATCACACATTGTAAAATTACAAGCTGTTATTAATAAAGTTTTTGGTTGGGAAGCAGAAAATAACATGATGCTTAACTTATAAATTCCATGTTCTTAGTATAAAAAATGAAAACCTTCACCGAAATACAGGACACAAGACACAATCAGATCTACTCATAGTAGGTAAGCAACATGTAACGGTTCCAGGAATAATGATGATAACCTTACGTTTAGGAAAAATGGCCAACCAAATATAAAAATAATGGATTATGAGAACCTTCAAATCCAAGGATCCCACCACAATACTTTTCAAATCATTTGTGTTGTCCCACCCTGAGTACTGCTCAATATTCTCTTTCCTCTTCTTGTCAGGAGAGATGGCTGATGTAGAGGGAATACAGAGCACATATACAACATACATAGATAAAGAACCTAAATTATTGGGACCATCTTGGAGCTCTCACAATGTACTCTCTGGTAAGGAGATGAGAGAGGTATCACATAATATATATGTGGAAGATACTGGAAGGTCAGGTCCCAGATTTGCACAGTAAAATAACAACTTACTGGAGTGAACGATATGGTAGGAAATGTAGAATAGAGCCGGGTGCCATAGTCACAATCAGAGAACACTGTATAAACATTAGAGGTCCATAGCTGTTCAGTATTCTAGCAAGTATAAGAAATATTGCCAGAACAAAAATGTACTTTTTCATGAAAATTTGCTTACAATTTCTTGCAAGAAGTACCAGACCAACTGGGTTGTAGTGGGCCAGTGTAGTGTAATGTAGTGTATGTGGGCCTGCAAGCTGCTTTAGGCATCAGTCCGATGGATCAAACACTCACAAGTCGAGCCTGGCCTTAGGAAGTAGAACAACACCCAGAACCCTGTCTAACAAGTAACATTATTGCAGGGGGGAAAATATTAATTGTCATTAAGCTTGGGTGGATAGTAGCGGAGAGGACGAGGTGTAGAGGGCATTGTAATGGCTGGGACCAAAGAGTAGATAATTTCTTCATTGTTGTTTACTAAGCTTTTATGCTTTAGTGTTTACCAAGTATTTCGGCACCACTCTCTCCTTTCCTTTCCTTTCCTTTCCTTTCCTTTCCTTTCCTTTCCTTTCCTTTCCTTTCCTTTCCTTTCCTTTCCTTTCCTTTCCTTTCCTTTCCCTTCCTTTCCCTTCCTTTCCTTTCCCTTCCTTTCCCTTCCTTTCCTTTCTCTGTGTTCCCTATTATTGCATTTCTCTCTCCTGTCTTCTTTCCTATTCATTCTTTATGGTACAGTACCCACTGTCTGTTCCTTCTCCCTCCCTCTTCATAGTAGTAAGTTATATAAATAAGTTATTTTCTTCCTTAGGTATGACATTGTGCAGAGATTTTTGGAATACAGCTTGGTGCGTAAAGTTCATGTCAAGGCAACCAATGGTGAAACACTGCTGCAGTTTTATACAGAAAGAAATAACCTAGGACAGTATGACAATGCTGTAGTAAGAGTGCTCGAGTGTGAAAAGCTCTTGCATACAAACAAGCCCAGCGCAGAAATGTGCCTCCGTGTGCAGCTGGGCACTACCGAGGCCAGCTCTAAGGCACGTTCACAACTACAAGCCATGTATGAATCCACGAGAGCTCAACGCCACTGCTGGAACTTTTGGTTCTTTCTCTCATGTTTTCTTCTGCCCTCTGTTTTTTACTATCTGGATGTGTACACGGATATTCTCCTGGCAGTAGAATATTACCAGGATTACATGCGCAACATGAACCTCACAGATTACTCTGGGGAAAACCATACCCAAAATGCAGAAGAAATCGCCGCATCAGAAGAGGTCAGTTATTCTTTTATTTCACTGTTCATCATCAGTCCACATTCAAATAACTTGCTTCTTGAATACATTTGCATTTCCAGCTTCCTTTAATGTCCTCTTGTTCTACTTTCTCCCAGTTTACAGAGGCTGTCCTCGTCCTTCTTGTCTAATTTCCCTCAGTGTCTTGTATGTAGTGATCATATCCCCTTTGTTCCTTCGCCTCTATAATGTTATGAGAGTGTTCTATTAACCTGGCGCTAATCTTGTCTCAAACTCGCATCACTTTTTTTTTTTTTTTTTTTTTTAGTTTAGTTTTGTGCTTACTTTCATTCCAGAGGTGGATATTACAGTATTGAACTTGTACAGGCTGTATAGGTAGCCTTGAAAGAGTCCTTATTTTTAACTTTAAATGCTATTCAAATGTTTGCCAGTTTCCCTTGTGCTGCAGATATTACCCAATCTGTACATCTGGTGTTAATTTGGGAATTATGTCCACTTCCTAGTTCATCTCCCTTTTCCATCTTCATTATATAACATTTATTGGAATTGAACTCTAGTAGTCATCTGTCTGCTCTCACATGGCATTCAACTGTGTTTTCATATACTGTATTGTCATCAGTCTTCCTTGGTTTTCACAATTCTTAATAGTCACATCATCTACAAACATTGACAAATTGTTCATTCCAGTAGATAATTGTGAACAGCAATAGTCCTAGATCCAATCTTTCAGAAACCCACGTGTCAAATTGTTCCGTACTCAATTCATCTTCTCTGATTATAACATTTTGCATTTTGTCCATCGGGGACGCCCTTATTTTTTTCATTCTATTCTCCATTGTTTCTGTGTCAGAAGCAAGGATGATTATCAAGAGACAGTGCTAAGTCAGTATAACTATATAGGGTCATTTCATGCCAAAACATCACAGCCCCCAACCAGACTATCTCAGATTTACGTGAAATTTGGTATGGTGTAAGCGTACATGAAGTAACATTCACGTGCAAAAATTTTAGCCCTCGGTGATGCATGATATTCCAAACCATCCTCCTGTTTAGATAGTACTTTTTTAACTGTTTGCATCAATGAAAAATCAGTAGGAGCTATGAGGAGGATTAGAACCCACATACTTGGTACTACCAAGCCCACTCCCTACACCGCTACACCACGACATGGCCAAGAGCAAGGCATGGGCTTGGGGAGTACAAAGTGTATGGGTTTGAATTCTTCTCACAGCTGCTACTGATTTTCTCATTGATGCATCACATTAATGTGATTTTATTGTGCATTTGAAGAGAAGTGTTGGAGGAAGAATAACTGGACCACAGCCAGAGTGCTTGGAGGCAATGCATGAAACCCCTGATTGGGCTTCAGTGGAAGCATCAGGACCCTAGAGGATTCACTTGAATCTCAGGTTACATTGTTTGTGACAATGTTGTGGTGTAGTGGTCTAGGGTGGGGCCCCCCAGTGTGCGGGTTCGAATCCTCCTCGTGGCTCCTACTGATATTCTAATTATAATTGATATCAACGCGAGCACAGCAGACTTTCCAAGAGAAATTGACAACATGCCCATGCACTTAGCCCCAGGTCCTGACTCCTGGAATTCAATGTTCAAAATGAAATGTAAAGTACCAGTAGCATGAAACTCAATACTGTATAGTAGGGGAGAAAAACTTGAACACAGGGTGAGATACCAGAAATACTTAAATCAGCAGATATAGCTCCACTGCACTAGGAAGGTACTGTAGTATAGCTTCGACTAGGAACTATAGACCAGTCATGCTAACACCACACAATAAAAAAGAGAGATTAGGAATCAAATCTCCAGTTTCAAGATGAACAATATACAGTACTTCACAACCCAGGTCAACATGGGTTTAGAGCAGGAAGATCCTGTCTAGTTCATTTACTGAACCACTAGGACCCAAAATTGCAGAAGCATTAGAAGAAAAACAAAAGGCAGATCAATTCACGGACTTTGCCAATGCATTTAATAAGTTTCCTTCGAGTGATAGTCCATAAAAATGATATCAATAGGAATAAAGACTTAACTTGGGCATTTGATTTTAAATCTTCTGTCACATAATGAAAAGAGTAACTGTCAATGAAATAAAACCATCCAAGTGCAGTGAAAAGCCATGTACTTATGTACCTCAGGGCACAGTCCTTGCATCACTGCTTTTTCTCATTCTCATATAAAATCTAGACAAGAATACAAGTCATAGCTTTCTGTCACCCTTTGCAGATGAAAAAAATCTGCATAAAAATTACTTCTAAATAAGACTAAAAAAATAACAAGCTCATAAAAATAAAAGTAAAAGATCAACATACTTGAGCAAATCTACAGAGTGAAATGCAGAATAGAACCAGTGAGGAATAGAGATGCCATATGCACAGTCAGAGAGCACTGTGGGAATATCAGAGGTCCATGGTTGTTCAGTACTATTCCAGCAAGCATAAGAAATATTGCTAGATATTAGATAGATATACGGTTCTTGTAAGAAATGCTGGATTAACCGGGTTGTAGTGGATATGTGGGCCTGCGGGTCGCTCCAAGCAACAACCTGTTGGACCAAATTATCACAGCATGAGCTTGGCCCCAGCCTGGTTTTTGGGAGTAGAATGCCTGGAATCCTCTCCAGGTAAACTCATATCTGAGCTCCTTGTCCTCGTATCCCTTCCAAGTGCTGTATAGTCACATATGCTACTTGCAGGGTTGGCATTTGATTCTTAATGGAAGAAGCGGTCAGGCACCATTCCCACACTTCGTCCTCTTGTCCCAGCTCCTTGTCCTTGTATCCCTTCCAAGTGCTGTAAAGTTGTACTCACTTAGCACTTTCTCTTGATTATCTTCTTCCTTTTACACTCCATGTAAGTGTTTCTGGGGCAACTTAGTCAATGTGTGTGTGCCTAACTTTTTTAAGATACCTAAAAATAAACTTCTTCATATGCCTTTTTGCTCCGATGTCTTATTCTTAAAAACTATTCATAATTGGATAATGATGTTTCAGGAATATCGTCGAAAGTTTATGGACATCTTCGATGACATCACAGACTCCCAGTACAAGATTAACTTTGTGTTGACCATGTTCTTCATCCTGCTCCCCATCACTCTGCTGTCCATGTGGAACCTCTATATCCACGTCACGCAGCCAGACATCCTCCCAGTGTTCCGTCGCTTACCCAGTTTCCTTCGTGTGTCTGTGTATACCTTCATCTTCCTTACGCCCCTCGCACCCGTCATGGCATACCTGGAAAATACCTACGCTCAGATGAAACACATGAATGTGACTGCCAGACAGATGCAAGAGGTTTGTGTCTGAAATTCCTATTTTTTGTCCTAAAATGTTGTTAATGTTCTGGTGCACAAGCTTTAATGCAGTTCGTCTGTTGGCTAAATGTCAATGGATATTATCTGTTTATTTTTTGTTTGAAATGAAGCCATTTCTAAAAGTCTTGCTAAAAAAAGAAAGGATTTCATAGTATTACAATACATGAAATATGAGTGCTTCGTGTGTTTTCTCATCAAAACATTCTGGTTGGTGGATATCGTGCCTCTTGCTTGCTTCTTATTGCATTAAATACCCCCAAATTTAATTATATTTATTTCTTGTTAAGTGACATATCCAAATAACTTTATACAGAAAGCAGGTAAATTGTATTGCAGTAGATAATGTACAAAATAGTGAATGCAGATATAAAGGAGAGTAGATCATAAGAATAAATACAATTTCAGAAAGCTTATTGGCTTGTACGAGGCCACCAGATTGCAATATCACATTTCTTGTGTATTTTGGTTTTCATATCATGTCTGTGCATATGTACTAAGTAATGTGGGTTAAAACAGCATTAAAGCACTTTCTTCAGCCACAGCCTTGACCAATCCACACACTAGAAAATGAAGGGACGACGACGTTTCGGCCACAATGTCGACCACAATCGACTTGAGAATGGTCCAGGATGGACCAAAACGTCGTCGTCCCTTCATTTTCTAGTGTGTGGATTGGTCAACATACTTCAGCCACGTTATTGTGACTCATCGCCTGCACGTCATGTATTCTATGGTTATGTGCCTCTCCTCTCAGTACATAGAGCAACCATTATAATCCCTTTGTTATTGTTTACATTTAGTTGTTGTTGGGAGAAAGGGGAGGAGGCGGGGAAGCTTCATAATGATGATAATTACACAGCAAAATTTGGGGCAAGATGTCATTTTACAGTTATTCCAACTTGGGTTACCAATTTTACTCTGTTTTGTTTTCTTATTTATTGTATTTATTTTCTGTGTTTTTGTAGATCCTGGTAGCACGCTACTGCTTCAGTTTTTTGCTCTTGCCTCTATTATGTAAAAGGTAATAGCTGCTTAGATTTGTCTTTTGTTTATACAGTTTTTCCACTGGATACGGCATGTTTCTGGGGGGAGCTCCGTTTGCTCCCCGGAGCTATCCAGGCGTGCCTCTGGCTCCGGTTTTGTTTCAGTTCTGTGCCTTGTGGTGTGAGCTGTCTCTACAGGTGGTGTGTGAGCCAAGTGAAATATTCCACAGTATTTGGGCTGCATGCACCTAGGGCTTTCTTCCCTAGGTGCCCTGTAAATACTGCCCTTGGGGCTTGGGGCCATCTTCCACAAGTCACCTTGGGATCTACATCTGCTGTGTCCTTTACTGCTCAGTACTTGGTTACCCTATGAGTCAGCTGGGATTTTGTTGCCCTTGTTTGTCTCTGGGTAGGAGGTAGTTTTCGTCACTGGTAGGGGCACGGGGTACTGCACAGCTAGTTTTAATCAATAACAGCGGCCGGCTCTGTTTCGCCTGGGTACGTTGTCCTCTTGCGGGGGTTTTCTTTTGTTTTTGTTTTCTTTTGCCTGATGGGGGGTCTGCCTTTTTGGCCCCCCTTTGCTGTTCTAGGAGTATTTATATATATTTTTCTGTTTTGGTGGTACGCCCAGCTTGGCCTCTGTGAGTGGACACTTCTCGGGGTTCAGCGTTTAGAAGTTTGTTTGGTAGACTTGGGCGCTGGTTTGCAGTACCCTGCCTGGGCTTAGTGTGTAACCAAGGTTAAGGGCCCCTGGGAAACCCCAATGGGGCTACATGGTCTGATGGATGTGACCCCTGAGCCCCCCTTCACATCTTGCGAGTTTAACGGTTGCTCTGTCCCATTGTCTCAGGGTGACACTCACCAGTAGTGCCTCCGCCATGCTGCCTGTTGGGTCGGTGATTCTTTGACCCAGAATCGTGTGACGTGTGTTGTCTGTACGTGCTCTCGTTCACCCGAGTCACTGCTCATGATATGCGGGTGCAGGCAGCTTCGGCGTTGCATGCTAGGTTAGGTTGCTGCATCACGGTTGGTTGGTTGCGGCCCCGGATGCCCCGAGACTGCCCCGTTTAGGTTCTCAAGGTCTGGACTTGGGGGTGGCAGTCGCTTCGGCTCTGATTCCATCCTCTCCTAGTCCTTCCCCTTCTGTTGTGCATACTTCCTTCCCCTTGCTTCTGGCTCCGACCCGTCGGCGGGTTTCAGGGTTGGGGCAGGGTCTGGTTGGGTTGAGACTCGGGTGGTCTCGGGGGTTTTCATCTTCCGGGGTGGCAGCGGAGGCATTCAAGCCTGTTCCTCCAGCCGTGCCATATGGGTCTGACCAGTGGGCTCCCTTCCTTAGTGTTTTGTACAGCTGCCCCGACTTTTCCTTGTGGGACTGGGGCTTTGGGGGGATGGCTCGGCCCTGGGTCCTGCCGTAGAGGTTCCCAGGGTTGGGGAGGGGGTGGCCAGGGGGGCCTAGGCCCCATTTTGTCCCGCTTGGGTTTTTGTACCCTCTGAGCGGGGCTTGCAGTTCCTCAGTGCGGTTTTTCCTTCCCCCTCTGCGTTCGTGTAGGTTTCAGGTCTACCCCTCCCTGGGTTCGGTTCCGTGTCCCTTCGGGTCCATCGGTACTGTCATTCCTGGGGGGCTTTTCTCCCCTTTCCATTCCCTTTTCGCGCTTGTGTTGCATACATGTTCCCTTCGTATCAGGATCCCTGCATGTACCTTGGTCAGAGGTCTCTTTGGGCCATATGTGCCTCTGTGCATTTGCGCTTGCTTCTCACAGTTCTCATTGGTTCGTGGAACTCTTCAATACTTCCAATATTATTGGAAAGTCTGTTGACTTTCGGTGAGGCTTCCCTCTAGTCTTTTCTCGGACTTGTTGGTCCTCTTAAGTGCTTCTCGTCTTCTTTTGATTTTGTTTTCAACATTATTTTATTTTCACTGACTCTCCTTCCTGTCTTGCCATTCCTATTATTCATTCCGTACGCCTTGCTGGATCCCTCCTCGGAAGGCGGGTATGCGGTTCTGTCCTCAGGCGCAGGTGCCGGGGGGGGGGGGGGGGAATGTTTTGGGCGGTGTACACATGTGTTGGTGTTCTTTGTTCTTTCTCGCGGATTCTACGCCATTCTCGCTCCTCTTATTTCCAGCCATAACTCCCTGGGTTCTTGGGATGTTCTGGATTTTATGTGTGGTGGTATATCCAGTTCTTTTCTCTGCTTCTGGGTGTGGGGCGGCTCAGAGTGGCGCCTCCTCCGCCTCTGTACTGCATGCACCTCACCTTCTACTGGGCACGCACCTCTGGACATTCTCTACTAGGGATGCTCCTGGTACATTGCACGGCACAGCTGTGTCTTGACACGGTAGTGTCTCTGTTCTGCAGATGAGATTGTCCTATCTGGCGACTCTGTCGGGCAGGCGCTGGTTCTCACTTTTCAGTGGGGTGTTCGGTGTTGAGTGTTTTGCTTGGACACTTAGCGTGCGTCTTACTGTGACCTTACTTTGTCTGTGTCTTGTTCTTCATTATACTGTGGGGCACAGCCCCGAATTCGGTGCCTTTTGTTTAGTATTTTGGCACCTGGGTCTTTTCTCGATATTTGGACACTCCTTTGTTCCCTCATTCCGTGTTTCCTGTGCCCTCATTCACTGCCTCTGTCTCCGATCTCTGGACACTCCTTTCTTGCCTATCTTCAGTGCCTGGCTGCACCCTTCTATCCATGGTGTACCTCTGTATGTGCGACCAACCGCAACACACGATGTAGTTGGTCGTGTAGAGTGCGTTCCCGGCCGCTGCTTTGTCCGTAATTCGGGTTTTTTCCTTGCCTATTTCCGTTATTCCTTCCTTTCTGCTACACATGGTTATGTATCTTGGTCGGTGCTTATTGGCTATACTCATGTTAGGTACTGGGGTGGGCCTCTGTCCATGTTCAGTTCCCTGATTTTGGACTGCCCCAGTGTTCGGTTATGGAACTTAGTTCTTTCCCGTTTTCCTTGTATCTCACTGCAAGCTTCTGTGTTGCAATGTCTGCAGGTGTTTGTAGACTTCTGGTCCACCACTCCTGCCATTTTCTATAACGTACATTTTTGTGAACAAATCGTTTTGTGTACAAAAGTGTACATTTTTGTTTTGTCGCTTAAATGACAGTGTACATTTTGTTCTCCTGCAGTACACATCCTGAGTAGTTCTCATGTATACATAGGAGATGCGTGTGTCATTCTTCCCTGGTGGAGCTGGTAGCTCTGCTCCTTCGGGTTCCAGGATCGTCGTTTTTCGCTTCGCATCTCTCTTTAGTTTGTGGTGCTCGTTTTCCTTGTTGGCCTCTGCTTGGGCCCCTGGCTCTTCAGTTTTCAGCCTTGTTGGTTCTTCAGGGGTCCTGGGGGGGGGGGGGGATTCCTCCCGAACAAGGCGTGTCTGCTTGCCCGGGTTGGTTCTTTTCTGGTTCGTCAGGATTGGGTTCCTGGTTCCCTAGTGGCCATTCCTTCTGGTTCTTTGCCAGCCTTGGCTGGGGGGCACTGCTTTGCTCGGTTTCCGATCCTGAGGGGTTTTCCCATGGCTTCGCCTCTTTTTGTGGATTGGTCCAGCCCTGTATGAGGCTGGTTTGTTCTTCCCCTTGAGTCTTCGCGTCTCGGGTTTTTGTCTCAAGTTTTTCGTCGCTTGTGTGGGCTCTGGTGGCTTTGCTGTTGGTCTTCCACCTGCGAGCTTTGTCTTGGCGGTAGTGTGTAGTTTCCTGGCAGTCCTTCCGGTTTTCCTATCACTGCGAAGGGTTCTTCAGTCTCTGATGGGTTGTCTTGTCTTTCTCGCCGGGTTGTTCCAGGACCGTCGTCTGGTGCCGTGTACTATTGCCTCATATCGGGATGCGCTGGTGGGGCCGCTCCAGCTTGCATTCAGTGTTGCTGTTCCTTCTGCTTCATTTCGCTTGCCGTCTTGTGCGTTGTTTCACCTCTGGCCTGCTCCTGCCCTTCTGGCGCCCGTTGACCTCTGGGGGTCGGGTCGGGGAGTTTCTGGCTCTCCTCCGGCACCTGTGTTTTTTCTGCCTCGTTTAGTCCTAGTGGTAGGTTGTTCGTTTGCTGCTGTCTCCTCCTTTCCGGGTGATTGTTGGGTCTGCTATTTTCCGGAGGGGTCCTTGGGTTGCTGCTTGGTTGGTCAGGCCAGGGGTGCTTCATTTGTTGTGTTCAGTTAAGGCTCTTCGCTGTTCTCTATACGTCTTGGCCTCTGGGGCCGTGGACGTGTTTTGATTTGCCCGGGTTCCCTTCCTTCTCTTCTTCCTGTTTGGGGTTCGGGTCTCCCGGGTCATCTGTGGGATCCTTTGGTTTCGTCTGTGGTCTTGTTTTTGTGTTAGGGCGTGTTGCCTCCGCCTCCCGGATCCTTCCCTCTTTTCCTTATCTGTGGTGAGGTAGCTCCAGGGAGCCGACAGGGCTTCCCCCAGAAAACCAGCGTTGAATGTAATGAAACGTTATTTTCTGGGCGAGTCCCGGAGGCTTCCCGGCATACCTCCCTCCCTCTGGTCGGCAGTGTTTTTCGCGTGTTTTGACATCCAGCCTAAGAACTGTCGGTTGGATCGCCGGCACAGAGGGTCTGGGGCTCCCCCTTCCCCCTTCTTCCTCCCGAGGAGGGGGGTTGCGCAGACGGCGGCGTGGTGATGTGATGACGTCATGTTAGTTTGATAATTTTGTTTGGGGGGAGTTCTGTCCACTCGTTCGGCTTTTGATAGCAATATGTTTACCAGAATAGGGGTTTGTTTTAGGGCGCCTACCTTTCTGGGTGCCTATCCCGGTCGATGGCAGAAATAGAATGCTCTCAACCACAAGGGGAGTTACTATAGGCCATTGCTCCTCATGCCTCTCTGAGGGGGGGCCAGGTTCTGGCTCGTGGTCCCTGGTAGGCAAGAACTCCAAGCACTTTGATTGATGCCAGAAAGTTATATATATCCATTCAGCCTGGATAGCTCCGGGGAGCCTCCGGGACTCACCCAGAAAATTGCATTTCATTACATTCAACTCTTTTTTTTTT